CCCGCCGTGTCTTCGTCAGCGCGACAGAGGCAGGCAGCTGATGTATACCGAATCGACCGCATGTAACTCTCTTCACGGATCCATCTCTCCGAACTCCTTCTTTATCCACTCCTCCAAATCTGCCTCGCTGCTGCGCTGCTTCACGTCGGGCATGTCATGATTCTCCCCCTCCGCGTCGTTCCCATGTGCGTGCTCCACGTCCATGCATTTGGACGATGCGGAGCCCACGACGTCCACCTCCGATTCCTGGCGAGCACCCCCTGATGCGGCTTGGATGGGTGCGGGAGCACCCGGCTGGATGGAGCCCGTGGCAGCTGCCAGAGCGACGGCTTGAATCTCCTTGGGAGAGGACGTGGACTGGGGGATCAAGAACGGCGGAATGGCGTCGGGGAAGTTCAGCTCCGGAGCCGACGCTCCCTTGAGGCACACAACGGCGGCATCGTACGCTCGGGCGGCCATTTCCGCGGTGGCGAAGGATCCCAACCATATCCGCGTCTTGGTGATGGGATCTCTGATCTCCGTCACCCACTTGCCCCACACCCGCATTCGCACGCCCTTGTAGGGTGCGGCATTGGGGAGCGAAGGGAGGGCGTGGTGGCAGTTGTGTCCGTGAAGGGAAGAAGAGGCAGACGTCTTGGCAATGGAGGAGGGGGAGAATCGTTTCAGGGACCCGAGCAGGTATCCTCCTCGTCTCACCTGAATGGCTTTCAGTTTCCTCTTCTCCACCATATCCAATTATACTAGTGGATTTGCTCTCTCTGACGAAATTAGTCTAACGCTGGCTGTTAAACTGATCTCAGTTCTTGGAATCTGCTGATCCAACTTCAACACCTCACAATGTTCTTGGAATGTCCCAATGCAAGAATGTAGACCTCCGTTCTTCTGCTGCGTCACTGAAACACTTTGAATTTTAAAACAGAGTCTGTGATTCGTCGGTGTTGCAGCAGCGAGCTTCTTGAGCTGCATCAATTCCAACCCTATATTTCTTGGACGCAAGCACTTGACTCATAACCCACTCTTCTTCGTACAAGCTCGCCGTCGAAGAGATAAATACCCACACTTACATACCACATACTCCTCAACAGCGTCAAAATCAAGAGCACTCAACTCCCACTCTCTCAAAGTCTTGACAACAATCTTCAAAAATTGACTCTACTTTGAGCAATGATCGAAGCAATCTCAAAGAATTTCACCAGAACCCCACGGTACACTTTCCAATTGAGGGATGAAAGGCCACAAAATCTGCGAATTATTTGTGCTGGTGCGGTAGGGATTGTGAGACATGGGGTTTTTTAAAGAGGGAGGCAGGAGAGATTCCATCGAGAGTGAACGCGACTGCGCAAGTCCACGTGCCGGCCTGGCGACACCCGAAGTTGGAAGGTAACCCTGGACGCGCCATGAGCGTCCTGGCACCTGGTAAAACCCAATGCTAAGAAATGCACTGTTCACGAAAAATACTGAGCACATGTTTCTCAGGCACCCAAAATACCTGCTCCTGCTGCAGTTGCTGCTGTAGGCCCCGCGACGCGACGCCATGGCATAACGCAGGCGACTTATTCCATCTTTTCACCGAGGCGTTCTCACTCACGTACCCACCCCGCGATGCGTTTCCACATCTAACTTTACTGCCCTCCGTTGCGCCACTCGATTCTTCTCGCTTCTTCTGCCACACTCTGGAACTACTCCCTCCAGCATATTCCCCAGTGGACCCCGACACGCCGCGCGTGGTGGCGCGCGTGCGGGCGGGCTCGGCGCCGCGACCCCCGCCCCTCAAGTGTCCAAACCCTAAATTTCGTCCTTTGCCTTCCATCCCCTGCTTGTACCTCATCCAATACTCGCTCTTGGTTATGGTCTTTTATTTTTATATTACAACTTTAAACTTACAATGTATTATTTGTTTTATTACAAATTAAAACTTACAATCTTTAAATTAATATCATAAAATTATTTATTTATTTAATATATTTAATCAAATATATATATGAAACGTATTAATAAGATTTTTTTAATATTTTAAATATTGTAAATTTTAAGTTATAATATCTTTCTTAAAATTCAAGTATCTAATATATATATACATATATATATATATATATATAATAGTTAAATCCACATCTTCCAAACTCATGATTAATTTTGGGGGACATGGAATAAAAGATGGAGATATGGAATAAAGCATGGAGGTTAGGAATAGAAGACAAGAGACATGGAATAAAGGATAGAGATGGAAATGGACAAAATTGATCATGAAATGGAAATGTGTGGCTTTAACAACAATGGGGTGTGGCTTTAACAACAATGGGGTGTTGCTTTAACAACTCCTTATTATATATATATATATATATATATATATATACTTTATAGACTTTAATTATGCAATTATCTTTAAAGAATAAAAAAATATATATTTAGAACCAAAAAGATCTTCAAAGCTAAAATTGATATGATTATGTATAAAAAAAATAGTACTTGAGGTTAATGTGAATTAGATTTCTTTTCAAGACTATATAAACATAATACAAAAATAATAAGAATATTAGTATAATCATTGTAAAATTATATATATATATATATATATATATATACACATATAGGTTGAGTTTATTTGTATGCATCTATTCATAAAAGCCATCTATTTATACATATATCTATACATGTATGTGCAAAATAATTTATAATTTAAATAAGTAATTTTGGCACCATTAATACTAATGACACTTCTCACCATTAAAATTTTAAATTTCTTATCTTAAAAATAATAATTGTATATATAAAAATAACTATAATTATATATACTTATATATTTTAATAATATTGATTCAAAAAAGAGTTTATATAATTATTATTAAAATTATAAAGTTTAAATGATGTTTTTAAAATAAAAAACTTATTTCGTAACATCTTATGTGTTGGTATTTTTTAAAATATAATAGAATATAATAAATAATATAATTTAGAATTTACTTTTTTATATATTTTGAATAAAATAGGGTGTATTTATTTGCTTGCAATTTAAATATCACTATTTTTTCTTAACATGGTTGTTGCATATCTTATATCTTATTGTAAGATCTTTTGTTTATATAGGAGATTTAGATTTTAAAAGATGAGAGGAATAAAGATATTAGTACTTGCTAATAAAGTTTCTTTTTCTTTGATTCTAAGTTTTAGATTAGCAAAATCCTCACATCACTGAAGATGCATTCTCGAAATGATTTATTTACTATAGTCATTATTTTATACTAATAAATATTGCTATATTCAATTATTTTATCTCAATTGATTTCTTTGAGAGGATTTATTGTTCTTGTCTAAGGATCATGTAAAGTTTTTGCTTCTTAATTGTCTACAAGCTTGTTCTAGCCATGAAGAGACTTAACTTCAGATTTAAATTTTTTCCAAAAAAAAAAGTTTTATATTGAAGATTAGCTTTAGGCATCACAAGGACCATTGTTTATTGAATTTGTCCAAAACAATGGTTTCTGTTCCAATGCCCATTGGTCAATTAAGAAAAGTTGAAATATTTTTTATTCTGAATATTCTACAAAGTTAAATTAAAAGATGTGTATTGTAGTTGGATACTTATGTTTAACTCATGTTGTGGCTTAATTAAATTCTATAAGATATAAATTATTTATAGTTTACTAAACCATTTGAATCTAATGTCTAGTTTAAGATATATATCATATTCTTCTACTTATTGTTAGATGTCACACAATTGCATGGTGTACCGTATATATATATATATATATATATAGTTACTTAAATGTATTGATATGTAAGATCCAATAGTAACGTAAAATAAAAGACATGTATTTATTAACTATTTAGATCTAAAGAAAATATTTGGCATTTGAGCAAGAAATGAAGAGTGAATCCAAAATAAATATAGAATTTTTTTAAGAAAAAAAAAAGAAAAATATATAATTAACAAAGAATTGTTGATATTTTTTAATGAATGGGACAATATGTTGAAATTAAGAAGAATTTTAGCACTTAGAAATGGCATGACTATTACTTAGAACATAAAAGTTTCCCAGAATGGGTTAGGAAATCACAAATTGGATAAGGAATGAAGGATTCACTGAATTGGTGCACCCCTGTACATGTTACCGAAATGTTAACAAAATAAATAGATAAAATTAAAACAAGGAGTTGGACGACGAAGGAGGGCGCGCCACGTGTCATTCCGTGGTAATCCCCGGGTCTAGAGATTGGGAACAATGTGCCATGTCAGAGGATATAGAACCACCCAGTTTCTTGACAAAAAATAATAAAATAATAAAATAAATAAATCCCACATGCATTAATTCCACTCTTCGTACTTGCAACATTCTGTTCTCTTTCTATTCTCATCAGATTCATTCCTCAGTTGTTGTTGCTGCTGTTGTTGATGCATCCGGAATGACGTCTTGGCAGTTGGGATTTAACTGGCTTGCCGGACCAATAATAGTACTCTCGTCCCAGGAAGTCTCTTCTTTTGCCTTGAACTGCGTCAACCGTGACGACGTGGTCAGAAACGCCATAGTTGGCGAGTACCGTCGTCATCAACGGCGGCATGATGCGTACATCTCCCCCATATTCACCGCAGACATGAGGACCCCACATTGTTTCTGACAACAGTTCAGCTCGCAAAACTTGAGGGTTAAGGGAATGGTACTCCTACGCTCGCATTGGAGATGTGTTAGAGCCCAGGATGTCTTGTTTTGTATTTTCACTTCTTTAATTTACGCAACGAGTAGACGCTGATTGTGTCAAAAGAAAATGGAAAAGAAAAGCCTTGTTCGGGATTGTGCCCTGAATCATTTAATTGTAAAGTGATGTGACAGTGTTCTTACTTCCGAGACTTATTGCATGATAACCAGTGCCGCCGCCATGCTGGACGATGAGGAGAATTAACTATGTTGTGGAACATTTTATAAAGTCCGAATTCAGAATTTTGGGCTGGTTGACTGCGAGTGCACTGTGCTCTGCCATAACGAATGTTCCTACAGCTTAGTCTGAGTTGACGTTCCAAAAATATTGTGGCCGAAATTCTGCTGTTCAAGAATTGGTGACATTCCAGAATAAGGTGAGAATAGAATTTCTGAATGCGTCTCACAGAATGAATTCGGTGCCCTCGATCTCCATGTCGAGGTCAGTAAGCACTGTTGCTGTTAAACGTCGTGTGTCGAACAGAATTAGATAGTCGAGCAACCGTCAGTTACAGATTGCAGCATTTTCACCGCTGCCTTCAGAGGCTTTCTCTACAGAAGTGTTTAAGTTAAACCTCAGAATGCGGTGCTTGGCCGAGCGATGTTTGACGCCTCAGGTAAACGACCACAACTTCACATCATAAACCAGCGACTCGTCTGCCTCATCGGACGAAGGCCACACACACTCCGATGCTTGCTCCACTCCGCTGTACCCTCCCAACGCTCCCGCCGTGTCTTCGTCGTTCCCTCCTTTCATCAGCTCTTGCAACAGATCCTCGCTCGGCTCCCTCTCCACCGGATCCATCTCTCCGAACTCCTTCTTTATCCACTCCTCCAAATCTGCCTCGCTGCTGCGCTGCTTCACGTCGGGCATGTCATGATTCTCCCCCTCCGCGTCGTTCCCATGTGCGTGCTCCACGTCCATGCATTTGGACGATGCGGAGCCCACGACGTCCACCTCCGATTCCTGGCGAGCACCCCCTGATGCGGCTTGGATGGGTGCGGGAGCACCCGGCTGGATGGAGCCCGTGGCAGCTGCCAGAGCGACGGCTTGAATCTCCTTGGGAGAGGACGTGGACTGGGGGATCAAGAACGGCGGAATGGCGTCGGGGAAGTTCAGCTCCGGAGCCGACGCTCCCTTGAGGCACACAACGGCGGCATCGTACGCTCGGGCGGCCATTTCCGCGGTGGCGAAGGATCCCAACCATATCCGCGTCTTGGTGATGGGATCTCTGATCTCCGTCACCCACTTGCCCCACACCCGCATTCGCACGCCCTTGTAGGGTGCGGCATTGGGGAGCGAAGGGAGGGCGTGGTGGCAGTTGTGTCCGTGAAGGGAAGAAGAGGCAGACGTCTTGGCAATGGAGGAGGGGGAGAATCGTTTCAGGGACCCGAGCAGGTATCCTCCTCGTCTCACCTGAATGGCTTTCAGTTTCCTCTTCTCCACCATATCCAGATGGGATAATCGTCGCTTGCTCGTGAGACAACAACAATTTGATACGTGCCTAAGTTAGCCCCAGTTCTTCGATTATTTCGAGCCAATCCTAACAGATCAGTATGTTTCAGGACTGTTGTAGCCAACTAAGAGTCCGCACGCAGCGTCACTTGTGGCGTCCTTGCGCTGTGCCGCTATGATTGCTAGTGAAGGATAGTGTTTTCTTCAAGTGTGCAGAAATGCATACTAATCTTTCCTGCTCCAAAAGCACTTCATTTGGAAAACCACAGAAGTACACAGATTCCAATGCCGATTCCTGAGAACCCCGTAGTCAGCGCAATCGAGAAATTTCAAGCGAATCCCAAGCCCATGAAGGGGAAGGCGAATATATTTCTCTGTTCATAGCCCGGAACTTTTCATACATGCAAGGAGGACTATAACAGTTGAGAGGGTGACCACCAATGCGTGTGGCTCTACTGGCGTCGGTCCCGCAAGTGGGGCCAGACCAGGAGTAATTAACTCCAGAAGAGACAGATAGAAGCCACAGATGATGCCAAATAACACATGTTTCATTGTATGAAAGCGCTGTGGCTCGCCCCCAGATCGCAA